CAAAAACGGCAAATTGGGTTAACCTTTTCCACTAGAGTCAATTCAGGAGAAAGATTCTGAGCCACAACCCTCATAAGGATGTCCTTTGAACTGCACGAGATATATAAATATTAAAATTTCTGAAGTCCAATTCATATATTGTTCAAGGAGGATTCTTGTCTGGAAAAGCATGCAGTGCATATGTTGTCTTATTATTCATATTATGGGCTTCTCAAAGAAAAGAATATCCTATGAAATAAATATTACGTGAGTATCCCCAGAATTTTGTTTCCCGCTGCTATAATGGCGGAATTAACATGCAACTCCCGCATTCTTTTTGCAGCTACATAGACAGGATCCGCCGCTGATGTAATAGCAACCCTATAAACACATAAAGCTAGAAAACTTGGTAAAACTATAAATCTGAAAATATGTGTGCATTTATTTCCAATTTCAACACAAAAATGCCAAAATGTATTCTTTAATTACTTTGTATTTTCACCAATTATTGTTGATAGGGAAGGCTTGAACATGCGCTCCCTCAATGTTTCGATTAAAGTGTTTGGAGCTGATCAAAATGGCAGCAAATGAAAAATAGTATTAGAGGCATTACTATATGCTGGCAATATATGGCAATAGAGTGGCTCAGCAAACAGAGTCTTGGATACTTAGCTCTGAAACTCCTCAATCGACTGTACCACAATCTGACCATTCTTTTATCAATAAAATTATTTAAGGCTGGTAGTTTTTAACAATTCTAAACATTGACAACACCAGGAATATGAGAAGCCAAAAGTTTCACGGAAGAAAAATTAACAAATAAAATGTCATTGCGCACGCGGTGGATTTTGAAGGTAAGAGGTTTTTGCAATGTATACAAGTTAAAAGTCCCACATATGATGCCAAAGGTTTTTCAATCTATCTGTAGTCCGGAAAGCTTTATGATACGGACGCCTACAGAGGAATGGGAATCTCGGCTAGGACACCTAAATCAATTTCACAATGCAAGGGGCTGGGCAAATTTAGAGACCTAATAAGTAGTTCAGTAGATTTACCTACAATCAATCGTTCAGTTCGTTTGGGGGGGGGGGGAAGGAAAATCATTAGTTTATTACTCTAATGTCTTAAAAGGACAATTGTTCCAACCGGCTAAATTGTTACTCCGTTGACGTTCCAGCCCTCCAACTGCAGCAGAAATGGCACTCCCCTGATCTGAAGCCTTCTCCATCTTAACTATGGCGTCATAAAGACATCTGGTGATATCCAGCAAGGCAATGACTTCACCATTTTCCACAACTGGGAGGTGCCTGAATTTACCTTCCAGTTGAAAAGGAAAAAATATTTCTCACTTGATGAAATCATTATGCATAATACATACTGTAGATTCAATAGTATAAGATATTAACATAAAGAAAATATAACAAGGACATTTCAACTCTTGCGATCCACAGATCAACAAATTAAGGAAACGAATGAAACCCACTTGCAGCAAAGACAAATGATAAGACCCTAATTGTAAAATAATAGTACAGGTTACTATGATATCAGATAAAGGTTTAAGTATACATAAAAAGATTGTCACTTCACTAGACATCCTTTGGGGCAGGGAACGGGACAAAGTTTAATAATAGTAAATGGAAGGGAAAGCGCGCTAAGAATTAAGGTCCTGTTTGATACGAAGCATTGAAAATGAAGGATTGAGATTGGAATTACAATTAAAAAAATTATTAAAATAGTACTTAGCATGAGTAATTGTTTGTTATATGGGATTAGGCAAACCCATAAAAGTGGGATTAGGGAATACCACTTCCCCCCATGGTATTTTCCAATCCCACATACATGGCTTTAGCTAATCCCATATATCAAACAATCTCTTATACTAAACACTCTCTTAATAGATTTTCTCAATTGTAATAACAATCTCAATCCATCATTTTCAATGCTTCTTACCAAATGCAACCTAAAAGAAAAGGTCTACTTTTTTAACATGGCAAATCTAGAGAAGTATGATATGAACAAAAATCATTATACAAACAAAAGCCATAACAATGCAAACCATGAAAAATACAAAATAAAAAAAAGGCTGAAAGCACCAATACTAAGAAATTCATGAAAGAAAGAATGGAAGGGGTAGTGAACAAACAGAAGATGAAAACTAGTCTGTCGATCCACGTTATGCAGACCAAAAGATAAGGGAAAAGATGGTAAAGTTACCACCCTGTTCCAAGGCCACAAAAACATGGGCCTTGATTAACACCGATCATGACATTTCTGAAACCAATACATCATGTCGAATTGTTTATCATATAGGTTACAAAAATGCTTTTACAATGCATGATTCTTGTGTTATAGTAACTACGATATAAATACATAAAGTCCCTAACCCTCCCTTTCTCCATGCCACACTCCTCAGGCATTCTTCCTCCTTTGTAACCAGCTGAAAGACAACATAAAAAGAGACACAAAGCTGATACAAAAATGAACAGATAAAAATGTTATAGACATGTACTTCTAGAACTACGTTCTAACACTTAATTTTATGAGCTGAGCTGCCAGGTAACAAATCCCATGTTCATGATGAAGTATGAAGCCAATAATCAAGGGCCACATAACATAGGTTAAATGCTCTCATCATAACGTAGCATAATATCTTCCTTAATATGAACCCGCTTTTGGAGAAGTAAAGTGCAAACTGTAGCAACCCTTATAGGATACCCTACTTTTACTTACATCTAGAGTAATAACAACGAATGACATCGTAAGAACGAAGCTAACCTTGAACCATCTTCTGAAGAGCTTCTAAGGCCAGAGAATCCGACTTCAGAAATATAGGATTACGCGTCATTATCTTAGACATTATGGTCTGCTCTGGCCGTAATCCTTCGGCTATAACTCTAACCGCGATGTCCTGACCACAAGACATACGAGATTCAAACATTTCATAAGGAAAAGAACACAAGTGCACTACTCTCAATGGACAGAGTAGAGAATGGACCTTGTCAGTCACGATTCCAGAAAGCAAAGCATTTGCGTCCGTCAACAAAACAGCATCAATATGGCGAGTTGCCATGCGTCGACATGCTTCAGAAACTGTGGTTCCCTCGGGAATTGTGAGGGCTTTTGACAGCCGAAGCTTCTTGACCGTCCTATCTTCCCCAGCTGGCCTGAAAAGTTTCAATATGAATCAACCCAATTGGATAAAAAGATACATGAACAAGAAACCTATCCGTGAAAACTGAAAAGGCTTTAATTTTATGACCTTTCGAGAAAAGAACTGCAAGCAAAAGATTATAAGCGACATCGTCGTTCTTATTATGCGTAGACAAAATCGTCACATCATTAAAGCATTACGTGCAAATCCACCAGAGACCAGAGACATGGGAAGTTCACCCGTTAAAAAACACGAAACCACCATGTTCATCAACATGCATGAAACGACCAAATGAAGCTTAAAAGCCTACAAATGATAAAATTTAATTTGATGCAACGTAATTTCTTCAAAACCGTTGGAATGACGGGTAATATAGAGGACACGATATACAAATACAACGCAATATAGTTTTATTTGCGAAGCGTGATTGTGCATGGAAAACAATGTAAATATAATGAAGAAAAAGAATAAGATGAAGAAAAAAGGAAGAGAAGAGATCAGTTACAGTTGATCGGTGGGAGAGGAAGGTTCATTGGCGCTGTTATTTTCGCTGGAGAGGGACCTTCTGGAAGCGGAAGGAGCTCGCTTATGGTTGGTGTTCCTCCTCGGACCAGGAGGAGCCACTTGACCGCTCATATTCAATCGGATCGCCGATTCTCTCTCTCCCTTTCTCTCTCGATCGCCTTCAGATATCGTCTCAGACCTTTGCACCCGCCACCACCTTCTCCTATCTGTCCCTCCCGCTAACAGCTTGGCTGGATTTCTATTGTCTTTCTTTTTCCATGCCCCGGAAAGGGTCAACTCAACTTTAAATTAATATACGGACTTCAATTTTAGGAATAGATAAATCACTTTTTTCTTTTTTGACCTGAAGATAAATCACTTATTATAATTTCAGTTTTGTTGGTTTATCCACTTTATAATTGCACTTCTATCTTATTTGGATTTGGAAATAAAGAGTTTTATTTGAAATCCGTATTTAATTTCTTACTTAAAATTTACAATTAAGTTTTCCCTTCGTAATTGACATTTTTGTCCAAGGTTAGTTACTTGGCGCTCGCTGATTCCCGCTCTAACCTTGGAAGATACTGGCGGTTTGAACACCTTCCACTTGTCTCAACGGCCTTAAGCCCCGTCAGGTGAGATTTTTCGGTATAATGGAGTTGGAGATTCACATTGAGACCCTTCATGCATGGTGCTTAATTAACCAACTCTATTTCCTGCATGAACATTAGCAATAGAAATTTGAGATATACACATACAGCACCTCGTGATTTATATATTACATATTACTTCCTCTCTTTAATATAAAATTTAGATTGTTCAAATTCTAAATTAGGCTTTTTTCAATTAAAGATCGAGGGTACGTAGTAATTTTTTCTTAGTTTGTTACTCAATAACGCTAAATAATTTTTTAAAGTATTTTTAAATATAACATTGTGAATTCAATTCTTTTCTTGAAAAACAGTAATAAATGCGTGTGTTATAATTGAAAAAAATATTGTAATTTTTGTTTATAACAGAGGTCATCAAACAAATGAGGTATTTTTATTGAGAATGAGATGACATCCTTCTTTTAATATTATACACCTGCGGCATGAATGTTGTAAGACTTTAGAGAGTGAATTATAGCAATAAAAGTTTGTAAATCAGAGAGAATCACATCAAATGGAGATTAAAAATTAAAAATATATAAAAACCCCGTTAACATATTATATTTATTACGGCGATAATCAAGCTGGAAAGACAAGATTGAAATATTATATTTATTATTATCAGCTCCTATATCCCCATAATCAGCCCAGTGATGTTCTGCAATGACTGCGCAAGGGAACAGGATGATTGTGGTACACTGGCAGTGAAACTCAACGACCAATGGGGCGAGAATGACGCCCTCCTGGTTTTGGAAACCCCGAAGAAAAATTTACCTACAAAATCTCCATTCTGAACAAAAAGTTAAATTTGTCTGGCATTGTGGACTTTCCAAGACAGCCTTCTGCCGCTTCATCCTATTGGTCCTACCTTCTTCTTGTCTCTATTTCCATGGCAAACAAACGCTCTGGATGCTATTTCTGGGTCACCCCGACATGTTTTTTCCTTCTTCTCTGACATTCCCCAGATTCTGCATTCATTTCCAGCTTCATGATCTTGCAGTTTGTTAAGGTATCTCACTTTTGTTTCTAATATTTCAATCGGTTTTTAGTGGGGTTCTTCAATGTATTTTCGTATTTGATGTTGGGGTTTTAGGATTCCGATTTCGGAGATATTAGGACATCGCGTGAAAATGGGACCACTTAGCATCGGTAGGTGCCCGTCGATCACGCTGTTTGAATTTTGAGTCTCAAGTAATAGGCATTTAATACAGCATTTCATCCTCCATCTTCAAAAGGGCACTGTGATTTATGTTTTAGTGTCACGTGAATGAACAGTGATATTGGGCGGTTTCAAGTTAGAATGGAGTTAGATGGGCTGATAAGTGAATTCTAAGCAAAGCTGACAACCGCCTTCTTTTTATTTTCAAATTTGTTCAGATTACATGATGTTGCTTACAGATTTTTCTAACTCCATGCTTACGTACTGATCAAAATTCATTAGCTAGACAAAACTGGAATGCAATGTCTATTGCCAGAACAATGTCTAGGTTTCTTTTTACTTAAAGCTAAGACTGAGATTGCAGCCAATGGCGTTTGTGAAGTGATTTTCCAGATAAAGTATTTGCGAGTTAATTGAGGTGCTGATTTTGCTTAAATTGTAGATGGACCGTCGGAGTTGGTTATGGCGCAGGAAATCATCTGACAAGAGTCTCGCCGAAACAGAGAGTTCGGGATCAATGTCATCTCATTCGGAAAGGTTCTTCGATGATCAGGCAGGCAGTGGCATAACAGTTGCAATTGACTACTTTTTCTTTCTCCCCCCCCCCCTTTTTCTTTTCTTTCTTTTTCTATAGGTAGATTGCCAGATTCTGTTTAACATTCTGTTCAGTGTTCATGATTCTTCAAAGTTAGATTATATTTCTCTCCATCACTGTCTTTGCTAATTCAGTGGCAAAATAACAAATTTAGGAGTCTTCTTGAATCATATGTTCCTGGTTACTGTATGGCTTTCTGAAAATAATGGTTTGTAATGTCTCGGCAAGATGCAAATGAATATCACTTGTTCTGCAAGTTAAGGATCCCTTTCCTAAAGCTTACAGGTCTTTACCGTAACTGAGTTACAATCAAGCATGATACATGTGGCTGTTTTGATTATTCTAAATTCGCAGAGAAATAGATTCTGATATTATGTTTTTGCCATGATTTTGAAGGCATATCCAACCCAAACTTCTAGTACATCACCGGCCGTCATGTCTAAGGTTGCATCGAATGAAGAAGAGGTTACCGATGTAAAGATTCTAAAAGAACAATTGTCTGCTGCTCTCCTAAGCATTAGTGTCAAAGAAGACTTGATAAAGCAGCACGCAAATGTTGCGGAGGAAGCAATCTCAGGTATTTATCTGCTGATTTGATGTAAAGCATTCAAAGACGACTTGATAAAGCAGCAAATTAGGAGATTATGAAAGACATCCTGAAACTCATTTTTATCATGTATGAATAACAGTTTGGGACTTGCTGTGGCATCGCATTTAAGATTATTAATCAGGTCTTCTAGTTTTACTCTCATTACTTTTTGTCAATCCAATCCTGAAAACACAATTATCACTGAATTCTAGTTAGAATATAGTCACTCGTACACTCAATCTATTTGCCCTGATTTGGCATTTCATAGAATGAACAAACTGCTCACTGGCGTCTGTTATTGACTTTCTTGTTTGTGGTGATATTGTTGAATTTACGTAAACGACACCGTTGCCGCTTCCATTTCTTCTGTTTAGTTCGAAAATTAAGAAATGAACTACATGATGTTAGCTTCTGGTTAAATTTAGGCTGGGAGAAGGCTGAAGATGATGTGTTGTCTTTTAAACAACAACTTGACGCTGCAAAGAAGAACAATTCACATCTTGAAGAACGAGTTAGTCAACTTGATATGGAGCTCAAGGAGTGTGCAGGGCAGCTTCGACAAGCTAGAGAAGAGCAAGAGCAAAAGATCCACGAAGCTGTTGCGAACAATTCTGTCGTCTGGGAATCAAAAAAATCAGAGCTTGAGGGTAAAGTTGCTGAGCTTGAGGCCCAGCTTCAAACAGCAAAAGTGGAAACTACTACATCGATTAGCTGTGATCTTAAACAGAAACTTGAGGCTGTGGAGAAAGAGAATGCAGGCCTTAAACTTGAGCTACAATCTCGACTTGAAGAAATCGACTTCATGATCACTGAGAAGGATTTAAGTGCAAAAGCTGCTGAAACAGCAAGCAAGCAACATTTGGAAAGCATTATGAAGATCGCTAATCTCGAAGCTGAGTACAGGAGACTAAAAGCCATAGCTCATAGAACATGCTCTGCAAATGATCACGTGTCTTTGACTGCTTCCTCAGTTTTTGTAGAATCCTTCACAGATAGCTTGTCAGAAAGTGGAGAGAGGCTGCATACCGTTGAAAATGATACCAATGAATGTGAGCCAAGTCGTTCTAACTCTTGGGCTTCTGCTTTGGTTACTGAATTTGATCAATTTATGAATGAAAAGACTGCTGGAAAAAATCGTATGGCCGCTTCAATCGAGATTAACCTCATGGATGATTTCCTTGAGATGGAAAGGCTTGCCGCATTGCCAGACACAGAGAGTGGAAGCAGTTTTCTTGAGACAGAACAGTCAGTAGATCAACCTAAAAGTGACCAAAACACAGCCAAAACTGATGTGGAATCTTTGATTCATAGGAATTCTGAATTGGAGGAACAAATAAAGAAGATGGAGACTAATAAACTTGGGGTTGAGATGGAATTAACTGAGTGCCGAGAGCAGCTCCATGCATCACAGATGCAAACAAAGGATGCGGAGTTGAAGATAGCAGAACTTCAGACTCAGTTAGATCTCACAATGAAATCAAATCAGGAAGCATATGAAGAACTAGAGGAAGCTAAAACCAAGAATGAGGTAGCGGGATCAAAACTCTCAGTTCTTCAAACTGAGGTGCAAGAATTGGTTTCAAAAATTGGTTCAATGGAGGAACAGATTCAGAAGGAGCGAGCTTTGTCGGCTGAGTATAATGCCAAGCGTGAGAAGTTGGAGGATGAACTTTCAAGAATAAAGCACGATGCTCAGCTTCAGAGAGAAGCCGAGATACTGGATAGGGAAGGAATCACTAAGGAGCTGAAGTTAAAGCGGGTTAGTTTGCCACACATTAAATTTCCATAATTTAAGCCTTTGTCAAGTGCATATGCTTAAACATGACCGCCATGCATGTACCTGCATAATCATGGTCTTTTGATTGATAAGGAGCATAGCCAGTCAATTGACGTTAATTGATTAGCCTCAGGCACGTTTGTGATCTGTTAATATTTGGTGGTAATATTGATATGTGGGACGTCAGAATCTTTGTTGGACTTGCATTTGTTGATTAGTCGGCTCAAAGAAGTGATAGTTATTGAGTTTATGCTTTGCAGCAAACGTTGTACGAATGTTTTTCTAATTTGTGAAAGATTTTATTGCAGGAGAAGGAACTTTCACTGGCTGCTAGTAGACTTGCAGAGTGCCAGAGAACCATCGCATCTCTTGGTCAGCGGTTAGAGTCTCTTGCAACATTGGAAGACCTCCCACATGATTCTCAGAAACCCGTGGGGCTAACTAGTGAAGCTAAACAGAGTCCCAAAAGTGCAGATCAACTCTTAAAATCACGCCACAGCGATTTGAATTTCCAAAGAAGAGATTTTGTGTCTTCAATATCGAGAAACCCATATACTGCCTCTGAGAAAAGCCGTAGTGGTTTTGGAAAGTCGGCCCCCAGAAGTAAGAGCGTAAGCAGAGCAGGACGACACTGAAAAACGCTGCGGTTTTTTTTTTCCGGGGGGGGGGGGAGTTCAACGAAAAAAAAAAATCTAAGTTGTTTATCCGTTCATATCTGCCTGAGGTTGTGTACAATACAAGTCTTGCATAAGTACTAAGAAACCAAACAATGCCCTTGAATAGGAATATTACTGAAGTGAAGCAGTTTTAAACGTGGAGTTTTGACGAGTTTCTTTAGGCTTGTTTAGTAATTGGAATGAATGATTGATTATTTTATATTTAGCTAATCGAATTGGATTGATCACGTTGGCGGAAAGGGGGGAAAAAAAAACACAGGCAATGGGCAATTTTTTTTGGCCTGAAAGGTAACGGGCAATTCATGGGCGATTGTGCGGGGTGGGAAGTGTCAAAATGTAGAAGTAAACCATTCAATAAAAACAAGTGGACCGTACAAGCAGCAAAGGTTCTATGGTGTAGTGGTTAGCACTCTGGACTTTGAATCCAGCGACCTGGGTTCGACTCCCGGTAGGACCTTTTCTTTTATGCTTTTATTAAATTTGTTGCCCTCATCTTGAGTATGACACTTCAATAACAGAACGAGCATTTTACTTTTATGGGAAGGGAGGACGAAGCTGTTTTAAACATCATGAGCGTTTAATAATCATAGAAGACTGATGGGGGAAAAAAAAATACTAGCATGTCAGCAAATACTTCCTCCGCCCTAATTATAAAAACTAGTTAACTAATTTAAAAAAATTAAGAAAGTAAGTTAAGTTAGTTATTTGTAATAAATAGGTGTTGTTTTTCTTAAAATATTCTTGTTAATCAAAAGTGTTGGTTAGAACTATCATCATTAGAAGGACAATCTTGGAAAAAAAACATAAATATTAGAGACAAAGTGAATTGAGGTCTTATATTTAGGATCAAAATAAAAGTTAAACAAGGTCTTATATTAAAGATCAAAGGTAGTATAAATCAATTTTAGAATATCATTGAAAATTTGGCAGACTTATTTAAGCCACAAAAAGTTAATAATTTAATTAATTAATCTGATGATTTGTGTCAGTGCTTGAATTTTTTTCAAAAATATACTACCTTTGGTCTTTAATATAAAATCTTATTTGAATTTTATTTTGATCTTAAATATAAAACCTTAATCCACTTTGTCTTTTATATTTATGTATTTTTTTTCTCAAAATAATAATTCTAACCAGTACACTTGATTGGTAAGGATATTTTAAGAAAGACAATATTTATTTGTTATCGATAACTAACTTAATTTTTTTTCTTGATTTTTTTAAATTAGTTATCTAACTCTTATAAATAGGAGTATAAGCCAAAATTAATGCAAAATTAAATCCAAAAAACATATTAAACTACACCATAATATTTACCTTCAGTGATTCCGGTCCATCTGTTATTCATAACGGTGGAGTTTTCTTACTGGCCCCGTTCAATTTTGTGTAAGAAGCAGCCTATGCAGTAGGCGCGACCGCTTAAGAGGAAATTTGGGGCGGGGAAGAGAGGAGTCATGGGAGATGGTAATACTACCACCGGCAGCAATCGGTCCAACAACAACAACAACAGTAATAAGCCTGAGTGGCTACAACAGTACGATCTGATAGGGAAAATTGGGGAAGGTACCTATGGTCTTGTATTCCTCGCAAGGATCAAGTCTGCCACGAATCGTGGAAAATCAATTGCCATCAAGAAATTCAAGCAGTCCAAGGATGGAGACGGAGTCTCTCCCACTGCTATCCGTGAAATTATGGTCGGCTTTCTCTTTCCTTCTCTCTTTCCTAAGTTTGCCTTTTTCATTAGCTGCTTCAATTACAGTTGCTGTGTAATGAAGGGATATTTGGGAGTGATGTCAATGAAATAAGAAACACCGAGGGATTTTGATATCGAATTTACAAATAGTACCTTTTTGTTTTATTGTAAATTTGTAAGTAATGCACTTATCCAACCTTGGAAAAACGAACTAGTTCTACAAATATTGTCCTTTTTTTGTTTTTGGTTCACAGTCTTGCTCTTTTATTTCATGTACTCCATTTGGAAACAAAATCGACCGATATTGTGTCGACGTCTGATTTACTATTCACTCTGTCAGCCATGGAATGGTGGATATTTTTATTTTACTTAACAAAATAGGGAAAATTTAATGCTAATTGGGAAACATATTGATGCTATACCAATTGCAAATTTGACAAATATGAGATTTGAGTCTCATATTAGAAGTACGAGATTCTAACATGGGTTTTTCAGGAAATTTTGGCACTCAAACCACACACGAGAGCATGGCTCTCCTAAATAACTGTCGACCTCCTTCCAATTGCAAATTTGTGGGGCATGTAGTGACACCAACTTTGTGATGTGAAACTGAGGCTAGATAGTTAGCAGGAGCCTGCGTGGATGCTAGGGCTGCCAAGCATGGTGGTATACCGGTATGGTATGGACCCCAATTGCATGGCATTGGGCTTGAGTCCCATGTTGGAAGTATAGGATTTTTATTGGGGTTTATATGGACCTTGGTCTCCTCCAACCTCATATGACAAATCAAATATTTGGAATGCAATCCGGAGACTTACTTTAAGAATCTTTTGTTTCTCCTGATTGTTATCATTTTCGCTGGTCCGGTGCCTAGAGTGTTAATTTCCAGTAATTTCTTTTATGCTGCAGTTACTCAGGGAGATAACGCATGAAAATGTTGTGAAGCTTGTGAATGTTCACATCAACCATGCCGATATGTCTCTGTACCTAGCTTTTGATTATGCTGAGCATGACCTTTATGTAAGTATAATTGTAAAGGGTGCCTATTATTTGGTGTGAATTCAAAATTAAGTAGTTAAATTAAAAATCTCATCTCTTTTGGAACTCTGCAAAAAAGATCTGATGAAATATGTATTCTCTGATATTTGGTATGACGTCTGTCTCCTCACATTCTGATGTACCCCTGGAAATTAGACCTAGATTTTACTTTAAAAGACGTGTGTTCTACTTTGTAGTGTTTGTTTTATGACACTTGGATTTTTTTAAGTAAATCAGTAACTCAATTTCCTGCATTACACAGATGCTCAAGGTTCTAGCCCTAGTATGAATTTTATATTATTACTATAGCCCCAGTTTTTATAGTCTCTCTAGGAATAAATGTATCCGTAGAAAGAAATCTATTTTGCTTGTTAGACAAATTGAATGTAAAACTTGCTATTATGATTGCAAGGAAATCATTCGGCATCATAGGGACAAGGTCAACCATTCTATTAATCAATATACTGTTAAGTCATTACTTTGGCAGTTGCTCAACGGACTAAACTATCTGCATAGGTGAGTATTCTTTTATGACATTGAAAATGATCCCTTTTCAGTTTTTTTCACATAAATGGCCTCAACATATTTCATTTATGCTACAGTAATTGGATAATTCATCGAGACCTTAAGCCATCAAATATATTGGTATGCCTCCAGCTGCCTTATCATTGTATACTTACGTATTCTTTTTCTGTTATATGTTGCCATTTTCATTTCAACCTCCCTTTGGTTCCCTTGTGTTTAGTACACTTTTTCATTTTTTTCTTTTTAAATATCTAAGTCTACTTACTTATTTCTGTACTTAAAATTTCTATGACCAGGTTATGGGTGAAGGAGAGGAACACGGAGTTGTTAAAATTGCTGACTTTGGACTTGCAAGGATATATCAAGCCCCTTTAAAGCCATTATCTGAAAATGGAGTATGAGGCATCCTTTTTACTTGTACAAAATAAATATACTTTATGAATGTTGAAATAAAATGAAACATTATTTAGAGCTGTGTTCATGTACCAATTTTGTTGGCATGCCTTAGCATAGGAGAATAAGTAATCCAACTGTGTTCTATCTATCATTAATTAGCTGTGGATTTGTGTTACTTTGCGCTTTCACTTAGATGATATCTTTCGTTTTACTAGACTGAGAGAATAATAACGTGCAGGTTGTTGTTACCATATGGTATCGTGCACCTGAGTTGCTTCTTGGGGCAAAACATTATACCAGTGCTGTTGGTATCCTTTTAGTTTAACGTTCTTGTTTTCTAATTTTCTCGGCAGTCAAGGAGCCAGCAGAGAAGTTGTATGCTTTTGTAATGTTTGCTTTCAGATTCTAATTTAAAAAGTAACCAGTCATTTGTCCTTAAATAGTCATATAGATATGTGGGCTGTTGGATGCATTTTTGCTGAGCTGTTGACACTAAAGCCACTATTCCAAGGAGCAGAAGTCAAAGCCACACCCAATCCATTTCAGGTTGTCATTCACTAACCTTTAGCTTTCTGATTCTATTTTTTGATGGTTGTCACTGTCATGCTGTGATATTTAATATTTATATTGGTATTACCTTGTCCATTTTGGATTCTAATTCTATAAAATCCTTGTGCCAATTATGCAGCTTGATCAACTTGACAAGATATTTAAGGTTTTAGGTAACTCATCTGCTTTAGTTTTTCTTTCTTTCTGCTTGGTTTATTCATATTTTTTATGAATATTTCAGAGTTATATCATTGGACATTGTTACTGTGCCAGGCCATCCCACATCAGAAAAGTGGCCTACCCTAGCATATCTTCCCCATTGGCAACAAGATCTTCAGCGTATACAAGGGCACAAATAGTAAGATCTTTTGACAATACTTTAGGTGACATTTTGTCATTAATTTTTGCGTCACATGCATATAAGTATAGTATTCAGAAAGTAAAAAAAATGTAGGATAATACTATTTCGTACTTTTGTTTCTCCTTCCTCACAAGCAATGGGAATTCCTTTGATGTTTGCGTGCAACAGTGACAACACTAGCCTTTGTAATGTTGTACACCTACCTCCAAAAAGTCCTGCTTACGATCTCCTATCAAAGATGCTTGAGTACGCTTTCTTTTTGCGTCGACTTTGTAATGATTTTTTTTTCCTTGTATTATCTGTGTGTGATGCACAGTTTGCTGTTTTAATGAAGAAATTCATTTATTTGCTTTTCATGTGCAGATATGATCCTCGAAAGCGGATAACGGCGGCACAAGCTTTGGAACATGAGTAAGGCCCTCTCTTTTTCACTTGGCTATTCTTTTGTGATTTTTACGTATTGAAATGGCTAAACTCTAAGAAAGGCTGAATTATTACGATTTTTTTTTTTAATGGTTTTATGTCTGTAGTTTTATTGTTCGTTTTGTGATCAACCTCTATTTTTGGAAATTGTCAAGCTTCTTAGATGTTATTGGTCATATAATTAGTTTCTTTTTATTATTTCATCTATCATCTTTTAATCATTTATGTTTCTTAACCAGGTATTTCAAAATGGAACCACTACCTGGGCGGAAGTAAGGCCTTTCTTCTCCTCGTTTTTAATTTTATTTTGATATTTTATGCTATGTTTTTATTGGGTAATTCCTTTTTAATCACTGCTGGTTACTTTTCATTTCTATAGATAAGTAATTTTAGTTTGGCTTAATAGATTGAAGCGTGTATTCCTTAAAATTTATTTACTTTAACTAGACGTTATCATTTCTCAGTGCTCTTGTGCCCTGCCAACCTGGAGAGAAAATTGTGAATTATCCCACTCGTCCAGTTGATACAACAATAGATTTTGAAGGGACAACCAATTTGCAACCTTCTCAACCGGTATGCAACAACATTTTTTTTTAAATTGCAATACTATTTCAATGTCGGAACTTTGATATGCTAGTTCTGTGCATATTTAGAGAAGCGAAGTATATATCAGGAATTGCTTCTTCGTTTAGCTTTTTACAGCCTGATCCTTCCAGCACTGTAACGACATAAAATTTCAGTGTATAAAATGCAGATAATTTTTAGCTAATGTGGGCAATCAGGTTTGAGGCTATTCAAGTTTAAGTTGATGAGGAATGTGATGGAGCTTTACAACGTTCCCGCTTGGAGCTACTTCTAAAACCTTGTTTCCATGAAGAAATAACCAAATCTATCTCTAGTAAAAGCTGTTTTTTAAACGATAACACCTCATTGCCATATCTTCTTCTCTCCAACTCCACAGCAAATTATGAAGCCTTGATATGATTCGTTGTGACTTCCAAAGAGTGGATGGACCAAGTACTTTTATAATCCGTAACTGTTGCAGTCCGCTTCAGCCTTGAGAAAATAAGATCACATTGTATATGTGATGTTAATTACCTGGGCCTATCATACATATGCTTCTTGACTTGGGCGCATTTGATCACATGGATCCTTACTGAAATTACAGTTTCCTTGACTTTCTGAAGAAGTGCTTGCTCACGTAAAGACTAATTTACGTAATTGAAATTTTGCAAGCGTGTGCGCATTCACATTGATGCACAAATATAAACATTCTCTACTTCACACCTCAGGAAGCGTATGCTTATTTTCTATTCTTTGAGTCAGGTTTCATCTGGAAATGCTGTTTCTGGTAACATGACAGGCGGTCATGTATCAAATAGACCTGTCCCTCGGCCAATGAATGTTGTTGGCATGCAAAGGATGCCACCTATGCAAGCTTATAATCTTGCATCCCAGGCGGGGATGGGTGGTGGAATGAATTCTAGCATCCCTATGCCACGAGGTGTTGCACAGGCTCATCAGCAGCAGCAGGTTCAGTGTTTTGTTTTCCCATGTTTCTATTGGGAGGAAAAGGGGGAGGTGGGCTCTGAATTTTCATTATTTTCTCTAATGATGTTCTTGCTGACTTTGTTGAACAGTTGAGAAGGAAAGATGGTGGAATGATGTTGCCTGGATACCCTTCACAGCAAAAGTCTAGGCGTAACTAAGGTAATGCAGTTTGTTCCATCACTTTTAAGTCGTGATATGCTTATCATAAAATTGTATCTTATTTGATGGAAATATAAAAATTTATATCAGTTCAGCCTATTTCTCAGATTTTCTTTGAACACTTCTTGTGTGCATTTAGGAGTTGTGAGAATTCTATGTGAAATAAAACACACACACACACACACACAGCTTTCTATTAGATACCTACACCAGGATTCTCTGTCTTTGGGAAACTCCAAAGCACCACCTGACTCGCATGATTAATAACCACTTTGTGTCTTGTGGCTGAGAACGAATAGTGGATGGAATTGTTCATGTATCATGATTCATGGTTAGGTTTTCCCTGGAGATACAAGTACAGATCAGATTGTGCTCAACATTCGGGCACTTGGAACTCATTCGGGATCCCAAGTTCGAATGGCTTACCTTCATTGGTTCCTGGCCTAGTGCAGTCAAAAAGATCTTCTACTCTGCAATGGATGCCACAGCTTGAGCTACAATGATATGCCAATGGAATCCATTGGAGGGAATAAAAATGGTGTTGATTAAGCTACTGGAATCATATGTATATCCTGATTTCCACTGTACAATCTCGTATTTCGTTAAGACTCCCAGAGCTTATAATATTCATTATAGCATCCAATACGTTTCCTCTGAAAGGGAACTCACGTAGTTTCCTCTGACCATGTAATATTATTGTACTGAAAAATATTGCTTCACATCAGTGGAGATCTGAGTCAAGTTATTAGTCATCCAGATGGAATTAGATTATTTTTGACAGATCTTTTCCATTGACATGGCATTCTTTTAGTTGAACATTTTTCTGTCGTTGTAATTGATTGTGACAGAATTTTGACGCAGGAAAGTAGCCAAATCCATGGCGACTTGGCCCTCAATTTCAGGAATTGAACATGAGTCGATGATCCTTGTGTTCTACTCCTCCGGTCCTTAATATGGGATCAAATTGTTAAGTTAATTTTGATCTAAATATAAAATATATTTCTTATATTTATCAATTTTTCTTAAATTACCTTTATGTATACTCTCTTAACCATAATCAAGTAGAAAAACGAAGGAGGATATTAAGAAAAATGATTATGGTGTTTTAGGAAAAATATATTACTTCCGGTCGTAATTATAAGAGCTAATTAACTAATTTGAGGAGATTAAAAAAATAAGTTAAGTTAGTTATTTGTAATAAATAGGTGTTGCTTTTCTTAAAATATCTTTGCTAATTAAGTTTGTTGACTAGAACTACTATTATTAGAATGACTATTTTAAAAAAATACATAAGTATTAGAGATAAAGTGAATTAGGGTTTTATATTTAAAACCAAAATAAAAGTCAAACAAGGTTTTATATTAAAGACCTGAGGTAGTATCATATTTTTTATAATTAACTAATTGATCTAGCTTTCTTAATCTGATTAAATTAGTTAAATAGATTTTATATTAAGAATCAGAGTTGTATTATTTTTCTATGATTTTGTCTTGTCATGCCCTTTCCCTTTCCTTAATCAACCACTACTTTTTTTTTTCCTGCCTCCTTGTCAATATGTCAATAATGAACGTGCTGTTATTTTTTCTATGAAACTTTCCACGATTTTGGCTCGTGATGCCTTTCTTTTCTTTAAACAATTGCTACTAATCTTTTCTCTTCCCTGTCTGTTCGTCAATTAGTCAATATATTTTCACCCCATCGGAAAATGAGTTTCGGTGTGGTGAAAAAGAAAAAAAAGAAACCAACAAGCGTTGGGTGCAGTGGTAAAGGCACCTGACACACCCCAGGCGGACGAGAATTCAAACCTGGAGCCGCGCTTGTTGGGAGGGGTTTACTGCCTTTAGTGCAAAGCACCTTAAAATGAGCGTGCCTAAAAAACCAACCCCGCTCCGGATTAGTTGCCCCGGGTTACCTGGTCCAGTTTAGAAGGCCAGGACTCAGGAAAAGACGTTGGATACCGGAGGAAATCGCGGGTCACTCACCTTAGATCACCAAAAGAAAAAAAAAAGAAAAAAAAGAAAAGACACGGTATTTTCATTTTCCGCACTCATAACAATATCAAGTTAGTGACAATCATAGTTTTCTGTTTTCAAAATATTAGAAATTAGAAATTTCAATCTCTATGGACGAGGTAAATCAAACCACGTTCTTGTTAGAAACTTCGTTAAAAGCAGTATTTATTTAACACTTAAAGTAAGTCCCAGTAGTAGGATTTTTAATTTTTTACGCTGATGTAGTTAAAAGTTGAGATTTTTACTAAGAATGAGTAGTGAAACTCAAAACTAAGAATGATGCTGAAGAGTGAAGAAAAACCTGTCTTGCGCTTTGAATCTTAACTCAAAATTATGTTCTTTCACTTTGTTATGTATGCGTGCATACACGTGTATCGTTATGTGATTGGAGATTTTTCATATCAACTCAAGTTCACCCACAATTAGATATTCTAACAAAATTTTTCATCTTTGATCAAAAAGAATAAAAAATCAGTTATTCGTGATGTGCAAGACTTTTAGATTGCATATTGGATGGATGAGCGTGGATAAATATTATTCTTTCATTATTACGATGTTGAGATGGGTGGATTTTGAGATGCTTTCGAAGCCGCAGAAAGCATTGCGTGCTCTACAAACTGTTAGTTGGTCGCACTTTATCATTCAATTCGCCCGCATGAGAAGTTGCAAGGAATCAGGTGGCTTTGTCTTCGTACATTCCGATATTCTTGTTCTCTAATAATCCTTCACTTCACGCCTCCTAATCTCTTTTCTTTTAACATACTTCCTCCGGTCTTTAATATAAGATCCTGTTTAATTTTTATTTTGGTTCTAAATATAATATCTCAATCTACTTTGTCTCTCATATTTATACATTTTTTTTCAAAGTAGCCTTTCTAACAATAATAGTTCTAATTAATATACTTGATTAATAAGAATATTTTAGGAAAGACAATACTTATTTAGAAAAAATAACTAACTTAACTTATTTCCTTAATCTCCTCAAATTAGTCAACTGACTCTTATAATTAGGATCGGAGGTAGTATAATCTTCTTCCCCTCCTCTTTTGTCTTCCGGTCCTTTTCTGTCTCTGCCTCCCTCACATTCAATGAATGAGTCACTCCCAATTATAGAAGCTTTTCTTTGAATTGTCTGGGACTGTATCATCTTCAAATAATTCTTTAGTACTCTTCCGGTCTTTAATATAAGACTCATTTAACTAATTTGATTAGATTAAGAAAGTTAGGTAAGTTAATTAATTATAAGAAATATGACATGTTTTTCCTAAAACACCATAATCATCTTTTCTAATGCCCCATCTCCCTCTTCTACTTGATTATAGTTGAGGGAGTATCCATAAGGATAATTTAAAGAAAATTGATAAATATAAGAAATGAGTCTTATATTTAGGACCAAAACCAACTTAACAATTGAGTCCTATATTAAGGACCAGAGGAATATGAGATTTTGTGTTCATAGTTCAAAACCTATTTAAAAAAATATATGATGCCTGAATTGAAAGGAAAAAAAAGAAGGAGAAAACAGATGAAACATGAATTCAGGCTTATTTAAAATGCCAGTAGGAACTTTTAAAATAAATTTTTAATAATAATTTGCAGAATACAAATTAAATATACAAGAAGAATTTTGTCTCAACATATATAAAATATTTAAAACTACTTATATTAAACAACTCCAAACAACCACAAAGTTGGCTTCCAATTAAGTTCGTCGTTATTATTGTGGATGATAAATTGATAATGGAGGGGAAAAATTAACTTCCTAAATAGCAATAACAACAAGCCGGCAATGATAGTAATAATAACAACGTGAAATAAATAAACTATTACTCGTACTATTTATTTATTTCGGTGGTTCGAAATGGTGAAAGCAGGTGGGAAACGAACAGTAGACCCGCAATGCATATCTTCATTTTTCTCGCACCGTTCTGTCCAATCGATTTCACTGGAAGAGTCCACAGTAATAATCTATTTACTGAGTAGATCATACAAACAAACTGACGGCTACAGTGACAGGAAGATAACGCGTTGGATTCGAGTTCAGGAGAGACGAATCTAATCGCTGTTAGCTTGCTTTGCTTCTCCAGTCCAGCTTCATCGTCCTATTTCCAAAATTCCAGGTAAACAGAAAGCTTTCCCGCTGCTGTATTTTTTTTTTCATTTCGATTCATTTACTGCTGTTCGTTCAACTGTTGTAATTTTCTGAGTTATGTCATGATGATCTGGATTATTAATCACTTCTGGGACCTCTTTTGGGTGTAAGCTATCACCTTTTTCTCTGATAGATTTGCGTCTTCTGGGCTTTGCTCATGTAATGATTCATTGTGTATTTATCCAAAGTTTATTGTTATATCTTGAGTTCGTGATTATGCGGGTGTAACTAATCTACGGAAGGGAAGTTTCTTTTCGCCATTCTCAATTTTACGATCGTCCTTTTTTTCTTTACTACAAAACAATTGTTTTATTTGAATATGGAGGTTGGGATCGACATTTACGTTTTGAGCTAGGGTGTATTTGGTATAAGTGAATCTCAGAATGTGTTATGAAAGAAAATATTGGCATATAGTGGAATAAAGAGGTTTTATACTCTGAGAGTTATTTTTCTTTACGAATAAATCATGGCAATGGGATTTGAACCGAAGACACGATTTACCCCATGTTATCTCCACTGGACCACACGAAAGTTCTAGTTCTGAATGTATTCCTTCATCTCCTATATAACAATTTTCCTTCGCACAGCTTCACCTATACTCATTTTCGGTAGGTCTTAAACAAACACCCAAGTTATTTTTAGTTCCCAAGACTTTTATTTTCAATCTCAAGTAAGTGAGTCTTTTATCAACCTTTTAACAGGAAGTGCTGCTCACGGGCGACTATTTTTTTTGAACTTTTAGACGCCCTCATAATTCATTATTCAGATTATTAATGGGGGATTTCATTGTATCTCAGGTAATAGAAGGCTTGGATTAGCAGCATCGAGATTTCTGTGGTCATGTAGATTGGATATAAGTTCATCTCTTGGACTTACTCCAACGACTTGTAGTATGCTAAAAGCTTCTTGTGTGTTTGTTCTGCTTTCAAAATGTCAGAACCTGATCTCTTGTTGATCACAATTCTCAATGCTTAAGCTGCCCTCATGAACTTGACTAAGTGAATCCTATTGAAACATAATGGTCTGATAATCTTAAATCTCAAATTGTATATTTGAATTTAAGCACTCAGCCATTTAACTGGACAGAGAAAGTTCGTCAGAAATGGTGAAGGAAGAAGTCAGCAATGATAGTCCCTCAAATGTTGAGTCTGAGGATTTAGAATCTCACTCTCAACATAGTCCTGAGAAGGAGACAAGTTGGGCAAGGCTGAACTGTCGTGTATGCCAGTGTGCTGAATCCGATAAGAGGGGAGATGCTGCTCTAGAATTCTTGGGCATCGCTCCAGTTTTGGAGTCTGATGTATGTAATGTTGCAGAAAGGTCAGATCGCGAGGAAATTACCAAAAGTGCATCTCTTAAAAGAAATGTTGGAAGTAAATCTGGGGTTGTGGAGTTTGTAAGCCCTGATGGGGAGGTTTACATTTGCAAAACTGATTTAGAAATGGGTCTTTCTCATCAAGACACTCTTATTGAACTTGGCTGTTGTTGTAAAAATGACCTTGCTGCAGTACACTATGCTTGTGCACTTAAATGGTTCGTCAATCATGGATCCACCGTCTGTGAAATATGTGGAAATGTGGCAAAAAATATCAGAATTGCTGACATCAATAAGGTTGTTGCTTCTTTGAAAGAGTATGAAGCATTGAGGGAAAGAACTGCCATTGGGCAACCCAGTCTTTCTCAAGTTCATGCTAATACTGGTATACTGGGATCCTGCTTGCTACTGGGCTACTTACTGTCACCCTTGCATGGCTCATAGCTCCTCGTGTTGGAAAGGTATATGCGATACTGAATTGGTCTATTAGGATGGCATAGGAACCTAAGCATGCTTTCTTCATTACATCTAGAGGAAAGTTCAAATCTTGGTCACTACTCTTATTTATGCCACCCTACCCCAATGCAGTAGAACCTAAACATGTTGGCATTTTCACATGGGAAATTCTCGATTCTGTCCATGCATGAAATAGTGAAGCACACTTTTATTAGTAATGCATAATGTCACTTTCAGTTGGCTCAACATAGCCTGTGGAGCCTGTCAATTAATTTTGCGTCTCTTGATCTGGTAGGTCAAATGTTTATTTAATTGGTTTCTAGTTACTTGTTACTATCAATTTCATATAAGAAGATTTCTGTTGTCCATTTAGTATATTTCCAGTTTTTTTCCTTTTGTTTTTTTTGTTGTTGTTGTTTTTTTTTTTTTTTTTGGGGCGTTGGGAGAGTAAAAATCATGTAGCTGAATTCAAAATGAAAAGTATGATGGGTATGTACAGGACATGGGACTAATGAGCTCATCAGAGGGTTGAGATTTTTAGATTGATACTATATATTCTTCAGCTATGGGGATTTGATGGCATCTCATTCCTTATTATAATTAGGTGTCATGAGAATTCATATTGTATCATCACTCTTGTTTAATACACCACTCACTTGAAACTTGTTTTTGGTTTTTGAAATTGACTCTTAAGTTCTGTGATATGTAGCAACCTCAGTGTTCTGCAGTTTTTTAGTCAACTCTTGGTCTTTTGCCACTGCATATTTGAAGACTTTTGAGCTATAGGAAGGAGAAATTGCCAATGGAAATATATTTGAATGGTCGAGTTAGGTTTCTGGTTTATACTTGGTACTTTCGTACTTCTACTTGCTCTTATAAGAGATTGAAGTGCATGTAGTAATGATGACATCTAGCGAATTAGGTGTCAATTTTATTTATTTCTAATTCACATGTTGGATGATGAATTTTGAGTGCCAATTAGACTGGTCATCTGCATTGGTCATATCACTGCCACATCTTCATCAGCTCACGCTCGCCCTTAGAAACATTGGATTGAGTGGGATATAGTCTAAACATTCAACCTTGAAGCTTTCTGTGTGAGATTTGTTAACCACTACTTTACATGTGAAGATTGAAGATACAAAAATGCATGGATCTGTGGATGGAGATGTCTGTATGGATGCATACACATCCAATTTTGAGAAGCGAGGACGTCTTAGGGTAATAAGGAATTAAGGATATTCTTATAGTTTGTGGGATGAGTTAAGCCTGTTTCGTATTTCTTCTGTTTTACTTCTCGTGGACACAAGAGGCAGGATCTTAGGAAAAAGGGTGGATACTAGGTTCAGGACCTGTACTTGTACATATTGGCTGTTGTGTCCCTATTTTTTAGCAATATATTGGAAGCATATGTGTGATTCCATTTTATGTATTGTGCAGAAAACTGCAAGAAGTGGTCTTCATATCTTACTTGGAGGCATTTGCGCTTTAACGGTTGTGGTTTTCTTCCGCTTTGTAAGTGCACCATGAACAATCTTTGGTCCTCTTCTTGCATTCTTTCAAGTAGGAAACTTGTGCACGATTGAATACGGGCAATTGGAGCAAAGCTGTAATAATTTCCAATTTTTGGTTCGATAGGAAACTAATTATTGTATGCTTTTGGTTGTTGCAGTTCGTGCTTACCAGAATCAAGTATGGACCTGCACGTTACTGGGCAATTTTGTTCATTTTCTGGTTTCTTGTGTTTGGAATATGGGCTTCACGGACACACAGTGCTCATACGACGTGATCACTGGGCACAGCTCTTCAGCATCTTTACTTTGTCGTCTGCCTTATTTCTCTTCTTTGCTCTCATTTCCTTCCAATTGTGAGCTTCAAGATTTTTAATAGAATTTCATTACGGTGGCCTCTAAGCAGCTTATTTACTATATTTGTAAATTGTTCAAAATCAAGTATATTGGTTGCTAGTTAGATTTCTTAATGCGCGTTATAGCTTTCGTATTTTAACATTCTTTGATTTATGGTTGCACTTGTATAAACCGTGAATATTATAGCTTTTATATTATTTTTTTCCGTGAAATAAATGTAACCTAACTTCCAATTTTCAGTACTCAATTAATTAGATTAAAATAATAGTTAACTCGTATGGTAAATTGGAAATACTACGTAACCCACCCTAAGATCTTAGGGGCAAGTCACTTGGTAAAACGAACAAGAACCTCTGACATTACATGCGTCATAAGAAATCCCAAACCTTTGCAACGGTGAGGTTTTGTGAACGATCTCTACGGCAAGAAGCAATGCCATTGAATCCTTATTTGACAAACCCGTTAAGAAACGGCAAAGACGTGCATGGTAATACAGAATCTAAAACTAACGAGGAGATTGCAATATTTTGGAGCAACACTTGAACTTGAAAACTATTCAAACAGAAAGCAACAAGGGTTTGAACGATGAAGATAGGAAAAGTGGAATTGTTGGCGTTCATAGTTCTAGTATCGCACTGGTCGTCTTCTTCAGCCTGGTTTGGTGATAAGCACAAAAAGGAAAGGAAGTCCGTTCTAGCAGGTGAAGCGACGTCGTCATCATGGGTCCTAAATCGCGTTGGGTCTTCTCTTCTGTTCCGGGTTCACGGTAACGTTTATCCTGTAGGGTACGTGACATCCCTTTTCCTTTCTTCTTACCTTCAGTTTCAGTTGCTTACTCGCGTTGTTCATGTCTTTATAGGCCCGACTTTGGCCATTTTAATCTCCTCTTTAAGTTGTACTTTTTTAATAAATTAAAAAAAAAAAAAAAAGGGAGGAGGAAAAGCAAGCCACCTAAGCAGGGCTAGAAGCCTACATAGCTCAAGACGACAACGAGGTGAAGTCATGATTACATAACTATATATAGTTCTAAAGAGACTGTAAACGTTTTTTCTTTTGCAGATTTTATAATGTTACCATGAACATAGGCCACCCACCGAGGCCATATTTTCTTGATATTGACTCTGGTAGCGATCTCACATGGCTCCAATGTGATGCTCCTTGTACCCGTTGTTCTGAGGTACAAGATTCTTAATCTTAAATCTACAAAATGAGACAAAAACCATCGTCTTTGTGGGTACTTGATTGCTGTGTTGGAGAACAAGTCCATTAAGCTTTTTGTTGCTTCATGCATCAGACACCGCATCCACTGTACCAACCGAGCAATGACTTGGTTCCCTGCAAGGATCCTCTCTGTGCATCGTTGCAGCCATCTGAAGACTACGAGTGTCAAAACCCAGATCAATGTGACTATGAAATCACGTACGCAGATCATTATTCATCTCTAGGCGTTCTTGTTAGGGATGTCTTCATCCTCAACTTCACTAATGGAATCCAGCTTAAAGTTCGTATGGCACTTGGGTCAGTAATTCGCCAAGCTTGATAATTAACTTGATTATAATAAAATATTGTCATTTCATTTCTGTCAATACATGTCCTGTGGAAATATCTGAGTGTCTCCTTCCTTGTTCTGTTAATTACAGATGTGGGTATGATCAGATATTTCCAGCTTCTTCTTACCACCCGTTGGATGGAGTACTTGGGCTGGGCAGGGGGAAAACCAGCTTGATATCACAGCTTAATGGTCAGGGCTTGGCGAGAAATGTGGTTGGACATTGTTTAAGTGCACAAGGTGGAGGGTACATCTTCTTCGGAGATGTTTATGATTCTTCTCGGCTGATTTGGACACCAATGACATCTAAAGATCATTCGTAACTATACCCTCAGAACTTGGATACTCATTCTACATTTCCCACATGCATTTCAATGATTCATAGTTGTTGAGCTTCTCATATTTTAAAGCCTTTCTTTGGAATTTGTATCAGTAAACATTACTCAGCAGAAGCAGCTGAACTCATTTTTGGCGGGAAGGCAATGGCGGTTGCAAGTCCGGTTACTTTTGACAGTGGCAGCTCCTACACTTACTTTAACTCTAACTCCTATCAAGCATTGATTTCTTGGGTCAGTTGAAAGCAACTTCACAGCATTCCCCACCTTTAACCATCATAAGATCTTGCATAATTCATCAAACGAGATAGGAAGTTTCTACTGCTATATAGTCAGATTAGTTAAGACTGGTATTTGTGAAATTCTAAACTGCAGCTGAAGAAGGAATTAAACAGGAAGCCTGTTAAAGAAGCCCCTGACGACCTGACTGTTCCTGTTTGTTGGCATGGTAAAAGACCATTCAAGAGGATAAGTGACGCCAGAAAATACTTCAAGCCTTTGGTACTGGGTTTCACCAGAGGCGGGGGAGGCGAAGCTAAGTTTGAAATTCCACCCGAAGCTTATCTGATAATATCAGTGAGTCCTAACTCCTAACTTGCCCATATATTTTAGGTTGATATATTGTTGCTATCTGTCATTGGCTACACCAATTTTTTTGTGCAGACCAAAGGAAATGCTTGCTTGGGCATTTTAAACGGCTCTGCAGTGGGCATGGGAGATACGAACCTAATTGGAGGTGGGAAAGTTAACATTATTGCAAATGACTCTGCACGTTCTTTCTAGTTTTTAGCATTCCTCACCACATGGGTGTTGAGCTATGCATTTATTGCTTCTGCAGACATATCCATGCTAGACAAAGTGATGGTATTTGACAACGAGAAGCAGCTGATTGGTTGGGCACCCGCAAACTGTGACCGGGTTCCAAAATTCAGAGGTGTCAGCATTTGATCATATGGAAGATATATATCTACATATATATATATATATATAATGGCTGCAACAGAATGATTGTTTTATCTCTTCATTATTTGTATGTATATATGCCTAGACGTGTGAACATATAATGCATTAGATTTTTATATGTACAGGTTACTGAATAAAAAGTGGTCGATCGTATGACAGATTGCCTGCATTGTTGTGAACCCTCGACTTAGAACGCCTATTGATTTGCTATATTGACGGGCATGTGTCATAGGATTAGTTCTAAGGAGCATCTTGCTTCTCAGCATGTCAGAAGTATTTGAGTGTGAACCCTGCTTCACTCAAGTTTGACTAGTAAACCCCCTTTTCTTAATCCATATAATATGTTCTTGCTCAGGATTTCTGCGGATAATAGTCTGATACAGTCCTAAACGAGAAAAATATAAGACCCCAAAAAACCTGACCGCCTTTTACCATTCAGATTAGATACTTCTTCATTTTTCTTTCCGAAAAGCTTTCATTTTAATAATCCTGCAGGTACTAGATATTTCTACTGATCTTATAATTCCTGTCGCCTGTTCTCAAAGAAGTGTTTTATAGTCTTATCGTTTCTGGTCCGTCAAACATGAACGCTATAAGTTGCGGGGCACCATTACGAAACAGAGGTCCCAGGCCACTAGCCACCCAGATTGATAATGTCGAAATTAAAGATTCTGCAACACGTCAATGTGTGATTTAAATTGAAGAATCAAATAATATATTACAGATCATATGAAAAAATTCTGCTAAGAATCCCAACGGAACCGGAATTTCCTACTAGACCCCTTACATATATGAACACTGATCCTGCATGACCCGTAACCAATATGAAACGAGATGTCTCCTCGTTTCTCCTAGCCTTTTTAACTCTTCATTATGCCTTTCCTACAACGAATTTAATAATATGTGGGACCCAATATTCCCTTGAGGTGAATGTGTGTTTTAAAATGGTTTCGGAAGGTACATGAACATGTCCTGCAGGGGCGAGAGCTGGTTCATTTGGTACTGGCCCTGAGGAACAAAAGCGTCGTATCCCGTGAAGTTACTATTCATATTGTCCATGTAATTGAGCTCAAAATCGAAGGCGTCGTCTTTCAATCCCAGCGGCAGCTCATTCCACTTGGGCTCGCTCTGGACCTCCTTCTCACAGCACGTGACGTCCGGCGACACCACGTGCTCGGAGCAGCTGGAGTCCGTGTGCAACCGCTGCACCGATTCCGACGTGTCCATGTACAATTGGTCATTGGCGACCATGTTGATTTCTGGTTTAGTTTCGTGCTCATCAACGTCTGAGGAAAACCTGCTCGATTTCTGATCCTGGGTGTTGTATTTCTCAATCACACCTTTTTTGTTGTAAATTCGGCACAGTACCCAATCATCAAGCTGCCATAACATGAAAAGCAAATAAGAAATCGAACACAAGATTGGAAGCATAAGAATACAAGTTGAAATAGGATAGATATATATATATATATACCCTCAAGTTGTTGTTCTTGCGAGCAGAGCGATCAACATTGGCGAGGCGATATTCGTGCATGATCCAATTGGTTTTGATGCCTTTGGGGGCTTTGCCGGCGTAGAAAACGAGGGCCTTCTTGATTCCGAGAGGCTTAGGCCTTCCGATGGCCTTGTCTGCTCCGGTCGCCTTCCAGTACCCACTTCCGGCTGCCCTGTTGGGTCTTGACCCGTTTGGATATTTTCTGTCTCTTGGCGAGAAGAAGTACCATTCTTTCTCTCCGTATTGCGTCATTTCTGTTCATTCAATAACATCATTTCTCAGGTTTGTACACACTTTCTTTGTCAATCATACTTCCATTTTCTTATTTTAGAAAAAGAGATACCCTTTTTCACCCAAGAAAAGCATTTTAACAGCGCTTCTCTGTTTCGCTGGTTTTCGTAAGCGCAGGCATTTAAAAGAAATTTGGAGCAAACTTTGAAAATCCAGAAGAAGCATCGACCCAAAATCAATCGATTTTTAGTATCATGTTATGCAGCAAAGGAAAATATTTAAGGAAAACTAGTTTATTTTCAAGAGGAAAAACAGAAAGGTACCAGGAAGCTGCCAAGGATCAAACTTGTACAAATCAATCTCTTTGATAACAGGAACAGCAATCGACTGGGAAGCACATTTCCTACACAGATAATGATTCACCAATTCCTCATCGGTTGGGTGAAATCTGAATCCAGGGGGCAACTCTAATCCACCACTCATTCCCGTTTTTCCTCTCTCTGTTTCTTCTCTCAGCTAACTGACCTCTGATTCGATGCTACCGGATGAAGCACCGGAAGAAAGCTTTTAGGCTTGAATCCCAGATTCCCCTCTCTCTCTAGCTTGCTAGTTGTTGTTCCTGCTGTGCACTGCGACTTGAACCGTCGAGCATATGCGCGAGACGCGGTTTTATAGTACGAGCGGGCGAAAACATGAAATTTAATTAAGACACGTGGTTTTATCAGAATGGCGGACGACAAGAAGGGGGGGTAATAATAATAATAATGAATAAAAGCAGGTGTGAAAGCAGAAGGAAAGAGAAAGGGGGTGGGGATTTCGGCCTCGCTGAGCAAAATGAGGCGACGCGTGGCAGTGAGTGAGTGGGTTGATGTCACGTGTGAGTGGCCCCACCTTATGGCGATTCTGTCATGGCTTGCGTAGCCTCGGTCTTTTTCTCGAGAAGTCGGCTCAACAGTAAATCAGGCGTCGTTGACCATCTCGGTCGCCGCTATGCCTTGCTCCACCTTCAATCGCGTCCTACTACTCTATGCTCCCTTTTTTTTTTTTTGGAGAAACTTTGAAGCCATCTCCAAAATTCATATTCAATGAAATCAAACCTAAAATTTAGTGCACATGCAATTAAAGACCCTTTTGGACTCAGGGGATCCATATATGCAGCGTGCAGGAGCGTTTACTCTCCTTAGGTTTCTCGAGATTCCAATCATTTTATGCCGTGTGGATGTGCTGCAGTGAGTGTGGAGGTTGCGTTGCAGAGGATCAGAGCTTTGAACTTTAAAATTCAACGCAGAGCGTCAACCTTCATGTCAGCTCATACGTTTACAAATTAGCGTCATTTTGTTGCTGCCCTGCCTTCTCCTGTTCTCCATACTTATCCCCAACCTCCCCCGTCCAAACAATCAAACATGTGTTCATTTTTTAGTGTTTGTTGAATAAAAACTCATAATAAATCATTCCATTTGTTTTCAATTTTATAGTTTACGTCAATTATTAAATGAAAATATCCTTTAAAAAAAAAAAGATTACTGTATGTTCTTAACTATTTTAATACAGCCGTCCCTTGACGCTTCTTCTCCTTTTACCAAATTACCCTCGACAATTACTCGTAGATATAATATTGGAATTTTGAATATGTCTACTATCATGCATGTGACTATATAGTGGGGAAAAAATGCCATTATGTTTTGAAATGGGGTTACGATGCTGTCTTGCGAGAAAATAGAGAATAGTCAACAACACCCACAAGTTTCTCGTCCGACGTTCCTACAATATCAAATTAAAATGGTTGGGTCGATGATCATATTCATATTATGCGAAAAACCAACGTTGTGCCTATTTCTTGTCCCCCTTTGTCTCCTCTCTTTTATTTTATTATGTTATTGGACTCTCTCTTTTTGGCTGGGGGCTGCTGAGTGGCAATAATTTTATATATCCCTTGAAATTTAAAATGGATCAAGTTGTATAAGAATGATGGTAATATGTACCCAAAAAACAAAAAATGAGTGGGAATAATACAGCGCGCAGAACATGATACGCAGTCAGAAACGTAGGATGAAAAGTGACACAAACAAGATGCTTCCTTTTATGTAGTTTTGGCATGTGGGTTTGGCCAATTTTTAGTGCTTTCTGGCGCCTCGATGCTCTCTCTCTCCTCTTTTTTTTTTTTTTTACAAAGTCGGTAAAGTTCTCAGCCGGGCTCCTTTTGGACCTGTCATTCAATGCTCGTTTGAAAACGAAAAGTACCAGAAAATGAAAAAGACGAAAGAAAAGAGCAAATCGCAAGAACATTCTCAGGCATCAACGAGGATAAAACAGAATAAAGAAGAAAGATATGCAATTAATATTTCGAAGACTTTTTTTGTCAGTACACGCCAATTCTTGAATCCACTTGTGCACGTAAACTAATACAGTAATAAATTTTATAATTTTCACACATATCCCATATCAAGCTGGTTTTTTTTTATTAAATTAAAAGTAGCGGAATGAATAAGAATGATGTGACGATGCGCATCTCCTTTTTTTGGCCGACGAAAGGGTTAATTCAAGCCTAATGTATTGTCTGACTATGTACTGCTTTGATGATATAATATCATTTTGTCTGTTTGGAAAAAAAATCTCAAACTTTAAAACTTAAATATATGGAGTTTTTTTAAGGCCAATTTTTTTTATTAAAAAAACTCTATTATATACTAATTATTAAGTCCAATTCTAAGCTAGAACTTCTCACACCGACTCAAGTTTTTAACACTAGAGAGCCCGGTACTCACCAAGTTTTGATCAAAACTAAAACATAAAATTAAATGTAAAAAATTTGAGAGGTGTACATTGCTCTCATGTGACAATAAAGGCTCTTGAAAGAGAAGCATGAGAAGGTAGAATTCAAAGAGGTTGAATTCATTGAATCTCACATCCTTCTCCCCGCCTCTCGCTCATCTGTCGTACAGAGATCAAATTATTTAGGGTAGCAGCTGAAAAAAGAGCAAGAATAAGAAAGATACATATGAGAAAAGTAAACATATTGTCCTAGGCTGGCTGACGTAGGATGCAGCCTGCAGGTAGGTGGATAAGGATGCTGGTACGATGTGGAAGCTACCTGGATGTTGCCTCGCCAAGCATTTCGAGACTTATCTGGACGCCTCCCAAATCTTTTTATGCAACAGCAAAGAACTGTATGGTTTGGTTCGGGCAATAATCTTTTTCAAAACTTCAGGGCCAGGGATTGGTTTGTGCTTAGTATTAAATCCAAACCCTGTTTTTCAAAACCTTTTATTCTCGTCAAGTTGATGTGATGTGGATTTGTGCTTTCAAGTTGGCCAGCTTGGATCGCACTTCCCATTTGAAACTGCCTTGACTTTATTGTTTTGTTGGTTTGTTATGGTGAGCTAGGATTACTTGGGCCTCAAGTATGCGTCTGCTCTTCCCATTAGCCGCCATATGGTTTGGGAGAATACTTTAGTGATGAAGGGATTAATTATTAATTATGATAGTAATGTGTGGTATATTATAATATGGTTGTCGGGATGAAACATCTCCGTCACCACCAAATCTGCTTGGATGTAACTCCGGGGCAATAGGTCCAAACTCTTTTGTCTCTATGTGAAAATTACCACTTTCTGGGAACCTTCTTCGTCCTTCTCACTAGCTGCCAATCTTGACTTCTGAATCTTCTACCTTCTCTGGCTTATTCAAACGCCAGATTCGTTTGTTTGGATATGCGTGCCTTCCGTTTTGGGCTTGGGCTGGGTTTGGGCCTCGAATTGAACTGGGTCCACAGAAGCCCAGTAACGGTGACATCAAATTCTTTGCCAGAATAATTTTTTCTGGGTATAATCAGGGTTTTTATGTTACGTTTGGTAGAAAACATTAAAAATAAGAGATTGAGATTAAAATTATAATTGAAAAAATCTATTAAAAGAGTGCTTAGTATAAGAGATTACTTGTTATATGGGATTAGCTAAACTCATGTATGTGAGATTGGAAAATACCATGGAGGGAAGTGGCATTCTCCAATCCCACCTCTATGGGTTTGTCTAATCCCATATAGTAAGTAATTACTCATGCTAAATACCATTTTAATGATTTTCTCAATTATAATCCCAATCTCAATCCCTCATTTTCAATGTTTCGTACCAAACAGGACCTTAGGAGGGTAATAGATTTTTTGGGGGGGGGGGACTTCAGTCTCACCAATTTAGAAGTTGTAAAGGAGTATAAACTAACTAGACTGGTCGACATATCCTGTTCTGTATCAACTAAACTAGGAACTAAAAAACTTAGCAGGTGAAGAAGTTTGAATAAAATTCGTCATGCATTGAAACAGGGGAAAATTACACTCAGGTCCCACAGAGCACAATTAATATAAAAAAGGTCACTCGAAATCGCGAAATAATTCTGAAGTCCCTAGAGACCTGTGTGTAATTAATTCTAATTGTGAAATTACGTAGTTACCCTTGTTAATTTGAACCTATTTACAACCTTAACAGTGGCTGTTAACAACCCGAGAAGAGGTGGTTAACAACATCAATAACGCCCTTGGCATTTTATAAAGTGAGTTGTCATGAGCACTGCTGAGATTATCAATCACGTCTTTTCGGGTTGTTAACAGCCACTGTTGAGATTGTAAACGAATTGCTGCAATAAAATTAGAACCTATTTACAACCTCAACAGTGGCTGTTAACAACCCGAGAAGAGGTGGTTAACAACCTCAACAACGCCCCTGGCATTCCACAGAGTGAGTTGTCATGAGCACTGCCGAGGTTGTCAATCACGTCTTCTCGGGTTGTTAACAGCCACTGTTGAGATTGTAAACGAATTGCTGCAATAAAATTAACAGGGGTAAGTAGGTAATTTCACAATTAGAATTAATTACACACAGGTCCCTGGGGACTTCAGAATCATTTCGCGATTTCGAGGGACCTTTATGATATTAATTGTGCTCTATGGGACCTGAGTGTAATTTTCCCTTGAAACAACACTTCATGACTTCATGTGCAGTCCGCTATATAATTTTTTTTTAATTGCTTTTGGTGATTGGATCGGGCCTGATGCCCAAAAGATGCCGGCCTATGTTTTTTAGAACAACCCTCCCGCACGTAAATCAGATTATGTTACCATAAACAAAAAAGAGACAAGAATAATCAGAATAGAGGTGTGTTTCGGTTTTCGCGGGAAGTAAAGTTGATGTATATCCCTCGACCTGGCAACAGCATAGTTGATGTTCTTGCCAAAAGACCTCTCTTGGTTTGCCCCTCGTTTCTTGTGCGGAGCGTTCAGAAAGAGATTTTGGGAATTGATTCCCCGCCTGATTAGTAGATTGTAATTGGGCTTAGCCCACATTTGTAGCAAAAAAAACAAAAAAGGATCTAAAACTGAATCCAGTGAAATGGGTTGAGAGGGTGCCTCATAAGACAATAACTGGTGTTTAAATTCTTACATATTTGATACCTAACAGTATCTTGAACATGATTTTTTACTCTTTTCAAATTAATTAAATTAATTAATTGAGTCTTATATTAAAAATAAAAAATAATAGTTGATTTAGACGAAGTAGAAATTAAATTCAGAGCAGTGTAAAGCTATGCACCTCCACATCAGTTCATTTAGACTCCTTATTTATAAGTTCGGCTATTTCTTGGTTTTCTTTTTGAATTAAAGTCAAAATGATATTCATAATAAAAATACTTATAAGTTATAAATACTTAACATTTCTATGTTAGCGGAGATAAAACTAACAAAATAAGATTTAGAGATAGTACAGTATTAAAGGACAAAAAATTATAGATAAGTGCCAAGTGATGTTGAGGACAAATGAGTCCTCGCGATAAGACTGAAGAAATCTTTTTCAAACATAGTAAGCAAGACGGTGTGCGTGTGTGTGTATTTGAAAGGGAAAAAAGAAGAAGCAAGAAACTGTTGCGGGGAGTCCACAAGGAAGTGACACGTGGGATGGATGGGATTACCACGTGGATCGCCATGTGTTGCGCATGCTTGTTTACACGTTGCGATAGCTCGCCTCGCGAGCCGCTTCCTCGCTTTATATTGTCATCTCAAGCGTCAACAGCCGTATCACTGCACCGATCCGAATCACTCTGCTTCTTGTTTTGAAACGATTGTTTCTGCCATTCTGACCTTTTCACTTGTAAGATCTCCCTTTCCCATTTATCCTCACCGATTTCCCTCTGAATTCGATCCATTTCCTTTTGTTTCACTCAACTGGGCACTTATCATTCAGACGATACGATTGTTCCCCAGATTTAATTTAATCTCCCGAAATCACAACTGATCAGTTATATCGTCCAATTTCAAAGAAGAAAGCAATGTCAGGTGTATCTCTAGCAGTGGCTCCCACTCCTCCGGGGTCGGAACCAGAGACTGTTCCGGCCACAACAAAACCTCACCCCCAACAGCAGGCGGCGGTGGGAGGCCTGATGGGTTCGCTGCGCGTGATAGAGCTTCAACTCGTGGCCTTCATAATGGTGTTCTCAGCGAGTGGCCTCGTCCCTCTTCTGGACTTAGCCTTCCCAGCATTCGCTTCCCTTTACCTCTTCCTCCTCTCTCGCTTCGCCTTCCCTTCTCGTGGTGGTAGTTCCTCTGCCTCCCAACAGATCTTCCATGGCAGCAGAATGTTCAGACTCTACGTCATTGTCGGAACCATCATAGGCCTCTTCTTGCCCCTCTCCTATGTGCTGGGTGGCTTTGCTAGAGGAGACGAACATGCAGTGAGATCCGCCACTCCTCACTTGTTCTTGTTGTCCTGTCAGATTCTCACCGAGAACATCATAGGTGGTTTGTCTCTGTTCTCGCCGCCGGTAAGAGCCTTGGCGCCTTTGCTCTATACGGTTCGAAGGATCTTTGTGGACATTGATTGGATCAACGATACCTGGCTCCTCCAGACGTTGCCTGCAAATGCACACTATAAAGTACGTTACGGCGGACACTGAAGGGAAAATAACATTTGAAGGTGAAGCTAAAGTAATTTCTAATTGTATGACCGATAATGATGTGGATGAATATATGTGCAGGACGTGGCGTGGTGTTGGTTCGGGAGGAGTTTGGCGGCGGCGAATCTGGTGTATTTCTCAATGAATCTGTTTGCCTTTTTGATACCCAGGTTCCTTCCCAGGGCATTTAAGAGGTATTTCGAAGAGAGCGGGGAGATTTCTGCCAAGATAGTGGAAGACAAGAGATCTGCTACTATCAACGTAACCCAGCGAGCTGATAAGAAGAAAGATTAAAGAGATTGTTGCCAGTGAGGGTTTAGATTATTTAGTTTCTGTGCAAGCGCGTTTTTATTCCTTTTTCAAGCGACAGAGTGCAAGATCGTAGCTTCTACTTCATGTGTTTTCTTGTTACGTTGTTGATACTTTTCCCCACGTTGTGTACATTCGCGATGCTTCTAGATAAGTGAGACATTGGCTTTGTATAGAGTTCTATGGGTGACTAATGAGAATGCCACGACTCAGCCCCTCTAAAGAAATCTCCACCTTATTCACAACGAGTTGAATCGGAAGGCATTTAAATTGATAAGTAGATGCTAACAACTGCTAGTTAGACATTGAACTGGAAAATTCGAGTCTTCTAGTCGCCTTAGTTGAGGTATACAATTGAGCAGAACTCGTGTTCCTCTCTAATTAGAAGTTCTAGGGCAGTTCTAACCGACAAGAACTGATTGTGAGAGACGTTATGTTACTTTCGAGAAACATAGTATCAGTATCGGCTTGGTGGGGATCAAGAAAAACCTTTTAGAACACTCAGGTCTGCTCACATTGAATATTTACAGAATGATGATCCGGACGTCCCACATAAACCTTCACTTTCTGTAGTCCCAGCTGTGATGCCCCTCCTCAGCGAATAAATTTTAGTGTTTGTATGCTCAACATGGTCCCTGAATAAAGATAAAAAAAAGCATTTACGTTGGTCTGGCTGGACCACTGATGACTGAGGATTCATTAATCATTGTATATGGGCGATGTAAAGCGAAGAAGTTGAAATGAAGTTACAAATTTTCCGAAGAAAAAAAAACTTTTCCAGCCTCCATTACCGAATCTCTAGATTTGATGCGTCGCAGTATGATGATGAAGCTTGTGAAGCCTCCTTGTGCAATGGAAATAAATCATGTCGCTTAATATATTCGAGGATCCCCAGTGTTCTGCATGTGGTTTATTATACCTTTTTTCAGACAACTTTCTCTGCAATGCATTTCCTCTTCAGGATGCGGGAAAACAAGGCAACCGCAACAACACAGAAAGATCTGGGTTTGGGCTTCCGAGCTTCCACTTCATTTGCTAAATTCGAATAGAATTGCCTCCAATAAGAGGATACTTATGTTTTAGCCAAAAAAAAATTTTCTTCACAGTTTCTGAACTCCTTCCAAAAAGAAAAGACAGAGCTTGGGTGTAAACAGAGAAGAAGATTAAGTAGTAAAATGCAGAAGATGCTCGACTTTTCCTTGGATCATGGTCTGAATCCAAATTTTCACACCATTTATGTTTATTGGGCCGAAGGTCCAAAAGTTTTCTGATTTGGGCTGCACACCGGTTTATACAAGTTTGGGCCATGGCCAAACCATTGGACCCATGCGGCAGATGTTGGCCAGATTCCATTCAACTTGGAATTTGCCCGCTTTCTCCGATCTACCGCAGAGGGTTTTGTAAGCACAATGTGTGCGTACTATTTTTGCATTTTATGAGATAAACTTTTTCTTATATAGCCTAAAAAATAAAAATCCGATTTCCATTCCAAGTTCTGGAAATTAATTTTCTGGCTTCCTGAAATATGTTAGAAAAAGAGTGATTCAAATTTTATAGTATGCATTGCATATATTTGTCCACGAATTTATTAACATGTCTAATTTTATACGCAATATGCTTCTGTTCTCAAAACGAAATCATTTATCTATTATTCATCAAATTAATTACAAAATTATAATACTGTGTTGCATAAAATTTTGACTTTACCAACAAAAATTAAATTGAAGTACAATTTTTTGGAATGCATATCAAATAGAAAAGAAGCCAAGGACATAAAACAAATTTTTGTACGTAACGTAAGTATGCTCGTGGCACAGACGGATAAAGATGGAGGCATAATGCTTGAAGTGATGGGTTTTGGTGGCTATTAGGGTGCCTGGCCGGGAACTCTAAATCATGAACATGAACATCCATGATCATTCTCACTTTGTTTGGTTCTTCATTCTTCAGCTTCATTGGGAAGTTGGAAAAACATGACATTCAGGATAAGATTTTGAAAATGATGCCACGAATCATGATGTGGAAGCTTCCAATTATTATTATATTGTAATCATTATATGCATAATCCCTCTGGCTTCTTCTGTCAGACACACAACAAAACCTCATATATGCAAAAACAGGTGTCACCGTCTTGGTACATCTTCAACCCCACCATGGTTTCAGGAAATTATTTTCGGAGAAAAAGAGGAAGAAAGCAACTTTAATTAAGAAGCAGAAATTTACTTGGCTCTGTTCTAGTTAATTGCTTAAGCACATACAACATCAGCTCTGAATAATTGAATGTGATGTGATTCTTCTTTCCAGGAGAATGACTAGAATCACTCCTCCGATTGATTGCATGCTATCTCTGAGCATCTTAGCTGATAGAGTATGTTGTTTGAATTAATGAGGAAGAAAGTGCAGTTATCCCAGAAATTAATGCCACAAAATTAAAGTACCCATCCCACCTTCAGTTTTTTGCTTCAACTAATGGTTATAACATTCCTGATAGGATGAAATTAAAGATACACGCAGACCATTAACTTCAAGATCCTAACACTTTTTTTTTTTTTTTTGCTTCTCTTATAGTAATCCACATCAATATCTCTTGTTGAACGGAAAGGAAAAGGAAGCGTACAGGTGGCCGGACCTGAAAAGAATAGGGGCCATGTAAGTAAGAAGAATTCAATGCTATACTTGCAAAATTCCTTACAGGTAGCTTAGCATTTAAACTTGAAAGCACATTGGAACCACTAAATCCTGCACAGTCCACATATCCTTATATTATATATTGTTATTCTTATCTCTTTTATTTAAATGAACCCATGTGAAATCACCCTTGAGAGGATGTCCAAGTGTAACGGACTTGAATTTGATGCGAAAAATCTAACACTCGATAAAGTTGAATTCAGTATTTAATATATAATAAAGTTAAAGAATTCATAAACAAGTAGTATCAAAGTCAGAAAGTCAGGTTCGTTTAGGACCTTTGAAAAAAAGACATTGTTGGAAGCTTGTAATTGTGCACACGTTTGAGACCCAAAAATGAGAACTTCGGTGGGAATTTTTGTGTGCCACAATATTTGAAAGTCGAAAATTGGATTGGTCATGATTGGCGCGGCAATAAAGTGGAATGACCTACAGATTTGAGCTTGAGATTTTGAATTAAGATGTGGTGTTAAGTCATTGCTCTTGACCTGTTTGTTTTCTCCTCCATTTTTGCGCCTTGCTCTTCGTTGCTAGCTGTGCTTAAAAATCATAAATACAGATATATCTTCTCCAAAGAAAATAAGCATATGCAACCAACTTCTAAAGATGGAACAGATTTGACAACCTAGCCAGAGAAATCCACTTCTTCCTTCAGTGGCTATCACTAAGGTTGATTATCGAAGAGGAAGGACATGAACTGTGTCTACCAGAGCCATGGTCTCTAATGAAAACCTTGTGAAGGGCAATCACAGTGTATGTAGAAAACCCTTTGCTTTGTTCATATTGTGTGGTCCAGAATGATCAAGTCAATTCCCACTAGCATTTCACTTAGATTTCTTGTTCAATCATCCACATCTTGCCTATCCAAATTCATCTGCTCACTGCATGTTTAGCCTACCCAACTACGTCCCCTTGGCCCACCACCCCAATTTGGCTGTCCAAACTTCCAAAACCCACTTTCAGTGGCATATCTTTGGTTTTCTAGTTTTCATCATGAATATTCTAAAACTGCACCATCACACTCTGTAAATTACCCCACCTTATTTTATATATTTGATTATTTCTCCGAATCCCTCTCGGGGTCCCCTTTTTTTGGGGAAAAAAACAAAGCAAAAACTTGCCTCTGTTTATTGGGTGTGCGTGTCAGAGAGAAAGAGGACCAGATGGAATAATTTGAAGTCGTATATGTGAAAGATATGCTAAAAAATTTTCCCCCATCTTAATGTGCATATTCCTCTTCTTTCTCGGATTCTTGTCACCATTTGAAGGAATTGATCCTAAGCTAATAATTGCTAAAACGTTGGATTTGACCATACAAAACGTGTTTAATTATTAATATTTTGAAAAGCACTTTTTCTTTTAGTAACCTAACTATTCTTCATTTGGCAACAAATAATAGCCAGAGGTTTTGGCTTTTGGCTTTATTATAAAGGATAGGTGATATCGATTTGATATTCAATATTTATCCCTAAAAACAGAACAGTTGTCAAAATAATATGTGGATATGTTCCGTCCTTTTAATTGATGGAACGTTGGCTCTTCATCTTTTGTTTAGTTTGAGCCCACTGAATTCTTCTGTATTCACTTCATTAAGAAAAAATAGAAATAAAAGGGAGGTAAAGAAAGAGCTCAAAAAATGAAACAAAACTAATATCACTTGACTGTAAATTTTTAAGAGAATCGCAGAGATGCGGACAGTGATTTAATCCACTTCTTTCGTTTTTTGATTCTAATGATGCAATAAAACGATGTTTCTGCACAGTTTTGGTTCTTATGTTATAAGGAGGCTGTGGCAACTATCTGGTTTTTCTTGCGTTAAGAATATCATTTTAAGTTCAAAAGTACAATATGAACTGAAATTTCAAACATGATGCTAGTGCCGGCTTGGGAGATTGTATATTTTTTTAAATTTGTTGAACTAAGAAACATTAAGCGCTCCTGTGCTATAACAGTGGCTTAAAAGGTGGCAAGAGCTACAAAGAAGGCCAATTTCATAAAGAGAAAAAAGTGTTCCTTCACAGAGTAAACAAGGTTAAGTGAGAAAATTAATTAGGAAAGCATTTCAGTTTTCAGAAGAAATTGGGCTATGAATTATTATATATCTATGTCGTTGCGTCGTACTCTTTCATCTTCACTATGAAGTATATATTATATGCCCTGTCTCAGTATATAATGTTTTTGAATGAACTATGCGGTTTACTAGCGATTGAAGGCAAAGAATGTGACTGTCTCTAATACACGCTCTTCCAATTTCATGTGCTTGATGTGGTGCTCCAAAGTAGGAAGCCACCATTTTGAGTTCTCTTTTTCACAGACTCTAGGGGATCCCACAAATCCAACGAAAGATTTTATCTTTCGTGCATTTTCAGATTGACAGTGTCTTTCAACTTTTAACTTGTGCAGCTTCCTTTCTTAGGACCCCTACTATAAATGCCCCCATTTCTCTGCCTAAACCATTCAGTATCAATAATGCTTAGCCTTCCCTGCCCCGTATAATTAAATCATCCTTCTCCCTCCTCCTTTCTCTCTGTTTTGTTTGTGAATGCAAACTGGTTTTTTCAAACCTGTTAACTAAATATTTTCTCTGCTTTGAACTGTGCCTTTTCCATCTAAGATGGCTGAAAACTCTGCCACCACCGAACTTCGCCAACTTCAAGCCTTTGACATTGAAGATTCCAGAGATGATGTGAATTCGCAATCTCCATACAAATGCTACGACGACGATGGCCGTCCTAAACGAACTGGTACATACTAGTAACATAACTTTAGTCCCCTGCTGCCAAAGTTTACCGTTCCTGCACCATCTAGCTCCTAAAATTCTCTCACTTGCAATTCGTTACTCTTCTGTCGCTTAAAAACAAAACAAATGTGCACTTCCTCATTCATCTTTCACTTAACAAATATAAGTGTTTATGAAATAATGCAGGAACTGTTTGGACTGCAAGTTCGCACATTATAACGGCTGTGATAGGATCAGGAGTTCTGTCCTTAGCATGGGCTATAGCTCAATTGGGTTGGATTGCTGGTCCTACGGTGATGCTTTTGTTCTCCGTGGTCACTTTCTTCACTTCATCGTTGCTAGCAGATTGTTACCGTGTAGGGGATCCTGATACTGGAAAGAGGAACTATAGTTACCCCGACGCAGTTCGCTCCATTCTGGGTAATCCTCAGTTTTCACAAAGAGAGACACAGTCTTATTGTCACAATTGCAGTTCAAGTGGTTTAATGAAGCCTTAATGACTGAATTTGCAGGAGGAGTGAATGTGAAGCTGATTGGGATAATTCAGTACCTGAATCTTTTCGGGATTACTATAGGCTACACTATAGCAGCTGCCATAAGCATGATGTGAGTGATATTGGTACAACATTATATTAATGCACCATTGATGATCATTTAACTGTGCTAATCTGTAATTTTTTTTTTTTGACAGGTCAATAAAAAGATCTAATTGTTTCCATTCTTCGAGAGGAAAAAATCCATGCCACATGTCAACCACCCCATTCATAATCATTTTTGGGGCAACTCAATGTTTCCTATCTCAGATTCCAGACTTCGATCAGATTTGGTGGCTTTCCATAGTTGCTGCATTCATGTCAGCCACCTATTCTCTGATTGGTCTTGTTCTTGGGATCGTTAAGGTTGCAGGTAAAAGCATGCTATTCTTTTTCTTTCTTTTTTTGTTAAATCTATATTCTATGATTTGTTGTATTACAGTATTGGAGTTAATTCGGCTGAGATTTGTGGTAGCAGAAACGGGTGAATTCAAGGGAAGCCTCACGGGAGTGAGCATCGGAACTGTAACTCAGGCCCAGAAAATATGGAGGACCTGCCAAGCCCTTGGTGACATAGCCTTTGCCTACACATTCTCTGTTGTCCTCATTGAAATTCAGGTAACCAACTTTGGAACTTATAATAATTATGAGTATGTCCAATTATTATTCATCATTAAAAAAACATATTTCTTTTGAAAAATTTCTATCTTTGGAGGACTAAATGCGGATTGAAACATTTAGGCCACTTTTGGCTAATAACAAAAGTTGAAACAGGACACCATAAAATCTCCACCATCGGAAGCAAAGACAATGAAGAAGGCTACACTGATTAGTACTATCATAACCACAACGTTCTACATGCTTTGTGGCCTCATGGGCTATGCAGCTTTTGGAGACATGGCACCTGGGAATCTGCTAACTGGTTTTGGTTTCGACAACACATATTGGCTCATAGACATCGCTAATGCTGCTGTAGTGATTCACCTGGTAGGAGCATACCAAGTGTTTTCCCAACCTATCTTCGCTTTCATTGAGAAGAAAGCATCACAAAGATGTCCCAGAATCAAGAAAGAGTTCCGAATTCGAATCCCTGGTTTCTCCCCATACAATCTCAGCCTGTTTAGACTAGTGTGGAGAACAGTGTTTGTGATGATCACCACTGTCATATCAATGTTGCTCCCATTCTTCAATGACATTGTGGGAGTTATGGGGGCTTTTGGGTTTTGGCCCTTGAACGTCTATTTTCCTGTGAAGATGTATATTTCACAGAAGAACATCGCAAAATGGAGTGGCAAGTGGATTTGTCTTCAATTGCTTAGCTTGACCTGCCTTTTACTATCAGTCGTGGCTGTTACTGGCTCCGTGGCTGGTGTCTTGCTTGATCTTAAGAAATACAAACCGTTTAAGTCTGATTATTAGTAAGTTTCTTCCGTGCTGGTACAGTAATATGATATGTGGCTTGTTTGGGAAACCAGAGAGAGGGGAAAGAACCATGTTTTGTTTGAGTATGTTTATTACTGGGGAATGGGGAATGTCCCAGTGATTAATATCTGCCACATGATGGTTGTTTTATTGGGTTATGGGATTCCACGTGCCGTTTTCCGCTTCTTCAACATCCTTGGGTCTAGACAGAACTTTCAAACTTCTGCTCCATGCATGCTAAAAGGTCGTTGTCCTGTAGTTTGTTTTGTTCAATAAATGCAACTTCTTTTTTCCTTTGCGCTAACAATAAATGAAGCTGAATTTACCTGTTTTGGCATGTTACTCTGTCGGTTTGGGTTTCATTTTCATTTAATTTATTTTCTATTTTTTTATTTAAATTGTTATTTTTTTAAGTTGATAATCACAAGATTAGTTTTATTCTATATCTCACGTTATTATTTAAATAATTGATTTGTCAATTTAATGTCGACATATATATTACTGAATGCAGATTTTTTAGTAAATGAAACTTGTTCCTCAAGACACTTCGCTTGAAAAGCTATCAACTTATGTCATCATCTAAGATGAACACACGTTTTTAGTGGTTAATGCTTTAAGGAATTAGTTTTGGTTAGTTGAAATTGGTTATGAGTTAGGAGTTAATGCATATAATTATTTCATTGCCAGAATAGGTCTCTGATCTGAATGAGCAAAATAAGTTGTTGAAGTCTCCAGCCTACTTCCTTCTACAACCTCTGCTGTATTTAGCTGTTAGGAATTATTTTAAAGAAAATAATAATAAATGGTCTCAGAAAATTGATGATTTTAAAGGGATAATGACTCGATGAGTATATGTGAAAGAGGTCGATCAAAAAAAAAAAGTATATATGAAAGAGAAAATGTCAGAGAGAGAGAGAGAAGGAATGAGACTGCTCCTGAGAGTAATAAGGCAGTGAAATGAAACGAAATGATGGAAGCAGATCCATCAAGAATGTGGGTAAACAACACACTTGTTCCTCATCAGAGACAAAAGCTCCATATATGTGCCAAAAAATATAATTACTGCTTTAAGCCAGCTAATTTGTTTTAGTTAATACTCTAACCCTTCCTTGTTACTAACATCTGTTATAAGCGATTGCAAAAATAATAGAAAAAAAATAAGGGAAAAGAAAACCGGATTGGAGCTTATGAAGGAAGATGTTTGACAGAAAATGATGTGGGAAAAGACAATGGGGGGTATTTTCAGGATCAAATGTGTTACGAATAAAGAGAGTGCTTCACCGGAACAATTCAAGAGATGGACGAATGAAAGGCAGGCGAGAAAGCTGGACTTGGTGTGTACGGGACTTAACCTCACATGGGCCACAAAATGATTTAGAAATGAGATCCAAACTCCAACTGTAGAATCAGGTTCAGGTTCAGCTCCCACATTCTCCACATTCTTTAAATGCAGTTCCCATCATCCAATTAAACATATAGCCCTCACTCATCGGCGTAGCACAATAATGGAACCTTATCTGCCAAGTCGGCAACTGTACATGTGGTTTTGTGGTCACTTGAAATTATTGCCAACAATAACGTCGACTTCACTGTCACAGGAACTTATGATCCCATTGGTACGAAACATTAAAAATGAAGGATTGAGATTGAGATTGCAATTGAAAAAAATCATTAAAATAGTATTTATTATTATAAGTAATTACTTATTATATGGAATTAGCCAAACCCATAGAGGTAGGATTGGAAAATACCCCCAATCCTACCTACATGGACTTACCTAATCCCATATAACAAGAAATCTTTCATATTAAACACTTTTTTAATAAATTTTATCAATTACAGTTCTAATTTCAATCTCTTATTTTTAATATTTCCTACCAATCGCAACCCATGATTCCCAAGACTTCAAGCTTCGGAGCCTCCCGATAAATGTGCGGCACAAACACTTTCGCTCAGAAAATAGAGGAAGCCTTTATTTTATTTTCCGTACTTGCGTCACATGAGAATAAAATTACACGCCCCGAGAAATCAATCGTACGCGCATGGCGTGGCCGACGGATGAGAAATAAAGAGTTCAAATTCTCTCATTATTGATTATGTCTTTTAATTAATATTTTCCTTAACAGAACAGAACGGAATCATTCTGATATCTGATGAATCAATTCGGAAAACCTTTAACGATGCAGAGAGAGAAAAACCGCAAAACATGCAACGACGCTCTGCAATACTAAAATGGACACACTCTAAACTAACTTGCCCATATTATACGGTTAATAAATGGGGCTTCGTCCTTCAAAAGAAGAAGGAACGTACAAATGATTCCGAAAAGGCAGATAGACTTCGGTGAAATACAGATATTACACATCAGAATCAAAACAAATGGAGAACATACAAAATTTGTCCACCAGTAATCGATGGTGCATGAGAATTTTATCTCCCCCCACCAATGAATAGTAGAAACATTCCTGATTGAACACCAGAAACAATAAACAGCTCCAATCTCATAAATTGAATTAGCTTGCGCGAAAGACGTGAGTGATTCTTGGCTCAATCCCACAATGATGGGTCTCCCAAAATTTGATGCAAATCCACACTGCCCCGATGGTCGGTCTATACTCTATAGATCTTTCTATATCACAGGTAATAAATTAAATCAACTGAAAGAATAATGAAAGTTGCCCACAAGTTGATATTTTTACACCAAAAAGAAACCATGCTACGCTCATTATAGCCTGTGAAAACGTGGCAGCCCCCTGGAATAACATCAGTTACGCCAAAAATTACTTCATGGTGCGTAGCCTTGCGGCAACCTCAAAGCTACACACAAGCCATATTTCGCCACCCATGCATTTCACTTTCAATCAGAAAAATATATGGAAAGAGGAGAAAGGGGCAGCCCACTTCGGTTGGGGGAGGGGACGCAGCTAATACAAGGTTGCGGGCCCCATAACAAAATAGATGAACAACCACCTCAAATGATTAGAAAAGCTCCTCAGAATTGAACTTATTCCACGCTTCCTGTAATTGACAACCAAACTTTCAGATAATTTAAGTATTCCAGGCTAAGGAATACAACATAACACTGTTTGTACAGGGCCTGGTATGTAAATACTCTGGCAACTATGTTTAAGCATAAAACTGAGCGAGCTCGCCGAGGTTCATCAAAATTAAAAGGAACAGGTCATATTTGTCCAACAGCAAAAGCCCAGTCACTAAGTAAACTATTAACAATTCAATTACTAAAATATGATATGCTGCAAAGGCAACACATCATTGAATACCTCATGCGGGTACAACTGTGTAAGGAACCACAGACATTAGAATTTCCTATGTTAACATGGACGCCGTGACCAAGAAATGCTATATACAAACTCATGTTATGTAAAGACTGCAGTTTAGAAAGCACTAACAAAAAGACATAAACATATTGTACGCAATGCAATGGTCTGCAATACCTTGAGTAAATCGAATACTTTCTCTGCAATGTATTTCTGTTGAAGTGTTGCACCTTTCTGCTGCACCTTATCAGGATGGACGCACAGAGTGGCTTTCCTATAAACTTTTCTAACAGATGCCGCTGTAATTAAATCAGTCAAAGAAACTGGCTGCCAACCGCATGCAGGCCACAGCACCTGATCATCGTTCGTGAAATAAATGCATTAGTATTAGATATTCAAGTTATAAAACAAAGACCAGTTGGAAGAAAAACAATACTGCTGAGAAAACTATGACAAACAAAACTACCAAGGACGCATTCAAAATTTTTAAAGAACACAAAGTTGTAAGCCCGCAAACATATGAGCATTACATGAATCAGAAAAAGAGAAGTTTCAGAGAGATTATCCACTGTGCAAAGGTTTATGCGCTAGGTACATACATATTGTAAGGTTGATAGTAAAGCACGCAAGTTCCCCTCTTTTCCTGCAGCCCAACGCTTGATTTCAACATCCAAAGTTTCAGCAATCCTCTGAAGCCCATGAAATTTTGAAATTAGATAATAAAATAAAAACATGTCACAAGGACAGGTTTGCATATTTTCATGGATAAGTATTCAAAAAGAACGTGTCCTTTCAGCAAAAAACACTCATAAGAAAAAAAATGAACGAAAAACTTGCATGTCTTTCAGCTTGCTCTCTTTGTGTTTGTAGGTCCCGCTGATTCTTCTCAGCCAACGCTTTTGCCTAGAATAAATTACAAAACATCAAAGGTCACATAGACAAAACAATTACAAGAAAAGAAAAGGGGAAAAAAAAACAAGAAGAAGCAAATTACACCAACTTTTTCTAAGTTTTGTCAAAAACAAAGACTAACATTCTATTTTCAAATATATACAGACTTCTCATGAAATAAAAACTGATGCTACTAAAATACCCTCCACTAGCCCAACTGCAAAATCTTGGGTTAAATTTTAATGAAAACAAAATCTACTTTTTATTTTTATTTGTACATATATGGGTAATTTTATGTATATAAGTTAATGGAGGATATTTTAATAAAAATTGAAATGGAATTAAAGTGTGTAATTTTGTAGTTAAAGGAAATACGTGTAATTTGAGCTAAACTCAATGGTAGTCTTAAAAAAACTGAATATAAATACTCCTCTGGTCCTATTTATAGGGCAGAGAGAGAAGACATTTTTTCATCCTATTTGTAGGGCACTAAGAGAATTTTTTTTATATAGATGTATAATTTTATCCTTCATTTATTATTGTGTTGACTTTGTTTACATGAAATATAATGCATATTAAATAGGGATAAAATTGAAAAGTAGCTAAATTTTAAATGAGAGTTAATGAAATTGAAGGTTTTTCTTGTTCTGTATAAAACATGTTGGAAGTGACTTATAAATAGAATCAAAGGAGTATAACAAAAGTTAGTTCAAAAGAGGTTGGCAATTCATTTTGAGACCAACAAAGAAACCAAATTAGAGACCATAACACATTAACACATACCGCACGCTCCTGAGTCCTCTGGTGGCGTTCCAACCTAGCTCTTCGTCTTTCTTCACTTTCCCCTTCAACCTCTTGAAATTGCCCAAAGGATGATGGAGCAGCTTTAAACCATAAAAGAGAAGGGACAAAAATAGACAAGTAAGCAAATGTGAGACAAAGAATACAAACCCCTATCGTAACAATAAGCACCATATAAAACATGAAAACCTACATCCAAAAATTGAGGAAAGATCATCAACAATATTAGTTGATGATGATGCTTTCTTCATGCTTGAAGATACCCCTGTAGATTTCCTTGTTATGTCTGGTTGAGGCTGGTCATCAAACACAGAGTCCTGAAAGCATGTAGATTCACAGAATTAATATGCAAACGTGCCATACAGTC